GCCTCGTATTGTTTACTTTGTTATTATTCACTTCAGGTTAATTTAAAGATTTACTGGAGAGAAGAATTTGAGGAAAAGAAGAAGAAAATTGCTCGAAAATAACGACGCAAAGTCGTTAGCTATCGATCTTATTTACTAACATTGCCGATAACGATGAATGACCGCATTAACGGGGTTTATGCAGTCATTGTTCTGTTTTAATCGCACTTGATTCGACTAATTTGCCACGATGGCGCAATTTATCATACCTCCGGTGAGGCATCGTCTATAATCGATAGGTGAAAACGCGAAGACGCGAGTTTATCTAAATCTCGCGCTGTCGTCTTCTTCTTTTTAAAAAAAAAATTTCACGTCCCACTCGTCGCCTGTCTTCTCGGGATTCGGCGATCACGATGAATGACGTGAGCTTCCTCTTATCGCGAGATCCCGTGACGTCGACGTTATCGTATAAATTATCCACTGGAGAAGACCGGTCCGCCAGTCGAGCTTTCCTCCTCGCACGAGGTAGAGGAACTTAAACACCTTAAACCAAGTTCTACTTGTAAATTCAACCTTCCACAACATAGAACTTTGCAGTTCTGTTGTCACTGTCTGTCTGGTCTACGGTAAATCGAATTGGCAAGACAACAAAGGTGAGGCATTTCTACTTGCTCTCGTCTGTCTATTCGTGCTCGGCAAGTTCTCTGTGCCCCTCTTTCTCGTTATTCGCTTCAGAACTTTGTCTCGATTCTCACTTCTCGCCGTAGTTGCTAAATTATTCACCATTATTTACCTCGATTATTTTATACTTCTTTTCCCAACAAGGTGGAAAGTAATTTTCCGTAAAAATCGTAGCAAGAACTTCACAATTTTTCACTCATTAATTAAATTACAATTGGCAATACATTTTGCGTTTGTTAAACATCTGATTGCGTCATTTGATTCTCGTTCGTCGAAACTCTTCGTCAAATTAATTAATCCTCCATTTCGTTTCACTTGCAGATGCTGATCGGTGGTGCGGTGAGCTACGTTGCCGGCAAGCAAGCAGTTCGCACGGTTTATTGGCGAACGGCGAGCAACGGTCGCTTGTTGAAGACAGCCAAGACCTGCATGTTCCAAGGTCCTCCGAAACCGGCACCATCCTCGACGTCTGCTTCGTCGATGTTCCAAGCCGAGTCCCATATGGACCCCATACCGAAAGACATATTCAACTATAGAAATTAAACAGCGATTAGCATGACACTGACAACCAAAGATCGGGAGAGGGGAGGGGGTGGGAGAAAGAACAAGAAAAATGAAAGTCCAGTGCCAACGATGGCACTTTGTACATAGCTCGTAGTTTAATTTAAGTTATCACTTCTATTCGTCATAATCTTCATATTTGCATCATATGTGTATCATAAAATATATATTTATTTTCTATCTTATTAACTCTCGCTCGATGTACGTATATTTATTTCTTACGATCGTCGAGTTCGTGAACCGGATTCACCGTCGATATCGGTTTATCGGCAGGTTTATCGATATTTACGCGTCTTTTCCCCCGCGATTTCCGTTCGAAGCGCGATCGTAACGTTTCGTGGCCAGCTTCATCCGCGTGACATCGTCCTCAACATCGAAGTCAGCGAGCGTATCGTCGTCAAATAATGACGCAGGCCGATTATCACGAGCTTGGTGTCTAGGTGAAGCTAGCGCGTGTGCTCCCGCCGCAAGGAGAGCTTTCAGTGCTTGAACTTTGAAATAAGGCCAAGCGGTTTTGCGTCAGCCGGTCGTTCTTTAGGTAGGGAACAGGAGGCTTTTATTTCAAATCGCAACCAAAGATGATAACGATTAATCACGGATCTTTCTATTTCTCTTGCCCCAGTGATCTGAACTCAAGCTCAGCAAACTCGTATTGGCAATTGCAATTTCATCGAAATTCGAACCTTTCTTCTCGTGTTTAAAGTTTAGGCGCGAGAGGCTCGCCTCACGCGTCAAAATGCTTTCTCAACTGGAAGCAATCTCTTTGTGAGGAACGTGAATTGTTTTTTTTTTTACCTTTTTTTTTTTTTTTTTTACATCGGTGAACTTGCTGGATGCCCAGGCCTTGGTTTTATCGCCAGAGAGAAAATTCTACAATCACGCACGTGCATCGTGCGCTGCACGATATCAGATGCGTCACCCTCTAACCGTGTGCAGCAGTGGAAAACACTCACTGCAGAGAATAGTGACCCTTTTCTTCTGCGAAGTCTTAAACTGAAATGGAAATTTACTTCGATGTGAACGGCCTTAATGTAAATTCTCTCTCGGGGTTGCCACATCGAACCGTGTTATTTCGTGATTGTACATAGTTC